CCCCCACCCCACCCCCCCGCCACTGCTCCACAACAACATCTTAGAATGTAAAAAAAAAAATAAATTTTTTTAAGAAAGTAATAGACTATTAAATAAAGGCACAGCAAGGAAATTAAAAGGCAGCAATGCTTTTGGTTGCTCCAGCAGAAATGGAAGAATGAACAAGAAAGCAGTTAAAGAGTGACAGTATAGATAGGGGTTTGTGAGACTGCACTGGGATAGGAAGAAGTGAGTACGTCTCTTCCATATGATTCTTCAGCTGTAGCTATCTGTGGCAATTGGGTGGGACTGTTTTTGTTTCAGGCTTTCAGAAAACTGGATGTAGAGCCAATTTTGAGTCATCAGTATTTTAAATTAACTTCTCTTAATATTCTAGATTTTTCCAACAGTGTGCATCTTTGGTGTCTAAAAGAAAAGAAAATCAGTGACATCATGGAGTTAGATGTTGTTCTGTCTGCATTTGAGAAAACTGTCCTGGACTACAAGTAAGTCTTTTGATGTTGTGATATATGTACCTAATAAATTTCCCTCAAAGGCCACTTTTGCTCATCCCACAGTTTTTGATATTTTGTATTTTCATTATTATTATATTTTAGATATTTTTTCATTATAATTTTTGTCTTAATCCTTTGAATTATTAACAGTATATTTTTATATGTCCAAATATGTGACTTTTTATATTAATCTTACATCTTAAATACATTGTAGTCAAAGATTATGGTAAGTGATACCTATTTTTTTTAAATTTGAGGCTTTTATGACTTAGCACATGATCTATGTGGGATTTCTAATTATCGGATCTGGGTAGACTATCAGATCTATGTGGAATCCATAATTATTCCATTTTTTCTGGTACTTCTATCAATTTGTGCTATTATATTTAGAGACTATTTAATTTCTTTTACTTCCAACCCTTGTGTGACCTTAAACTTTAATGTATTTGGTAAATCTTTTTTAAATCCAATGCATCAATCCATTAACATTTACTGTAGTTATCAGTATATTTGGAACAATATATTGTTTTTACTTCTTTAAGTTTTTTGTTCTACTTTTCGATATTTTTAATCCTTTTTAACTTAAAAAAATGGTATTTATAACTCCCCACTTTAATATTAGAACTTTGGCACGCTCTGTCCCTTCCTCTTCTCTCCATTTTTCCCACTCCAAACCCTATCATGTTTGTAATACCTGGAGACTTTTAATACTGGAATAAAATAGAAAAAAAATCCCCTTTTTGTCTTGTGTGCGTGCGTGTGTGTCTGTGTCTGTGTCTCTTTTTAAAACAACAAAATTTGCTAAGGTATTTGATTATCTTCATGTATTTTCTTGCGACATCCTGTAGGTATGTCTTTTTTTATTTAAGTACTTTATCCAACACTTCACTGTGGCTCTTTGTTGCAAAGCCTCTAAACCCTTCTGATTATTTTGGTTATATCCTTGAATTTGAATGACAATTTAATTGGATAGAATAATATTCTAGATTCTAAATTATTTTCTTAAATACTTTGGAAGCACTACTCCTTTACATCTGATACTGCTTTTGGAAAATCTGCCTGTCTAATTCTTGTTTATATGTTCTGTTTTCTCTGTAAACTTTTAGAACATCTTTTTCTTTGATATTCTTAAATTTCACTATATTGGGTCTGACATTTTCATTGTAAGGTTCTTTATTTTAATTCCAAGATTAAAAATATTTTTCTCCTAATTTTCATTATTGTTTGCTATATCATTGTCCTTCATTCACTGGGAGGTTACCTAAATCTAGAAATTGGAAATTTTGCTTATTTCTCACGTATATCCAATTTTGCCATTTATCCCATCTGTTGAATTCTTTTATTTAGCTATTTTAGTCTTTATATCTAATATTTCTGCTTGGTTCTTTTTTGTGTCTTGTATTCATGTTTTATATTGCTAATATCTTAGCGAGAGTACTACAAAAAGTTGATGGAAAAAAATAGAATTAAATGATAACACAAATCTTTCCATGGACTTTTTGAAGACCTCTCATAATTGTTAGGCTAGTTTCAAATTACTGGATCATCTATTCTAAAATATCTGCTTCTGATGGCATCTCTGATATGTATTTTCCTTTTGAAATGTATTAGCTGTGTTCCTTCAGTGTCTTATTGTTCTAACGCATGAGCTTATTTTCCCCTGGGGCTGTCATCTTCTCTGTCAGACAGTGTATATAGAGGAAGGCCACAGCGTAGTCCTTGTCAGCTCCTGTGAGTGTACGGGATAAGAGTGGGTGAGCCCTAGGGTGGGAAGCCTCTGTCACTCATCTCACAAAATAACCTTTCAGGTCAGGACTTCACCCTGTGCTTTCACAGAGAAGTAGCATTGAGAGTAGATATAATATACTCTTTGGATTATCATTCTTCATCCTGGGGGGTTGGCAGGGGAAGGGTGAGGAAACAGCTGCTCAAAGTCAGTTAGTCTCCACCTGTTTTTCTCCAGGTTACACAAGCACAGTGCTGGTTTTACTCTTGATGACACAGGAATGAGGTCTGAGCTGCTGCAGGTGTCAGTGGTGGGGAAGAAGCAGGAGTCAGCCTCCAGCAGCTCCATTTCTGTCCTGGGCCACAGCCACCACTCCTCACACCAATTCACCCTTTTAGACAGACCCTCCCTCACAGGGGTGTTTCACAGCTTTCTTCTTTTTTTTTGGGGGGGGGGTCCCCTTGTAGTTCTTTTGGGATGATCTTGGCCACCAGATCACTTCTCCCTGATGTCAGAGACTGAACCAGTTTGGGTCAGCTTTATAGTTTCTGAAGAACTGGACAGCTGATTTGTCTCTCATTGGTTAGTCCACATGTTACACAGGTATTCCTCCAGTTGCTAATAGGCAAGGAGGGAGGAGATAAAGACTGCTGGTCTTCAAATCAGGTGGTAGGAAAAGACTGGGATTGGCTACGAGCATTTCCATTATCACTTGGAACCACCTTTGATCTTGGCCAGTGTCAGGGATTTAAGATGACTTCATACCAGTGGGCTTAAGGAAAAATATTTCAATTCTTTTTGTTGATGTTGAGACATGTTTCCAGTATTTAAAGCCTGAGAAAGGACTGCAGGCTGAACATTGACATATTAGATATTTAAAATGGTATATGCCAAATTGTGTGTGTATGTATGTTTATGTGCTAAGCAAATGAAACACACTTTTCAAAATCCATTATGGTACCTAGTTTGATCTTTTGTCTTTTTTAACTCTTCTACAGGCAAAGAATAGAATCTAGAATTTGTAAGGAAGCTGTCAACAAATTTTACTTTGATATTAAAAAAGAACTCATCAAAATGGTATGTTCTCTGACATAAATATGTTGGTCTAAATTTTTTTTAACCCTGAGGCAGCGCACTGTTGTCTTACAAAAGTTTGCATTTGCTGGCAATATGGTAATAAACTCATTAGAATTACCCATATTTCACATACTGTTTTTAAACTAAATGTGATATATGTGAAACTAATTAACATTTAATTTTAGAAAATGCATGCAAATATTTATTTTTTATTTTGTGTAGCTTAAAGAAGTCCAGATGTTGAAAAATCTGAAAAGGAAGAATGCTAAGGTAAAATACGTGATTAGAGTAATGTAGTCATACATATACTAACATATGTAGAGTTAAGTAAGGACTTGACTCTAGGTTCTGTAACCTTTAGATTTGCGTAATATTTTTTATCTTTTTAGTCAGGCTTTTATTTGGTTGATCTTGCGGTTGATTTGGAAAATACTATTAATTCAAGCTCAGGAATGGGGATCCTAGTAACCTTTGTTTCCTAAACCTGTCCAAGTGTCAAAAAAAATCGTTTCTATGATCTAAGACAGAAATGTAAAGCTTTTTTAATGTCCCAGAGTTAGCCTAAAAATGGTTATCAAGTCAAAAATGACCATTTATGTGGATAAGTTTTAAGTAATGTATATTTATTGCTTTTGTGGATGCCAAAAAACAAAACCTTTTAGAACAAAGAATTGTCCCAGGTAAAAAGCCTGGGAAGAATACTGCGGTTAGGGGTCACGAAACCTCATTTTCTAGTCCTGATTCTCCTACTTCAGTGTTGTACCACCTTGAAAACTGTAAACCACTAGACAAGCAATGGGAAACAAGCCAGTAAACATTAGACCTTCTTTCTGCATCTGTAAACGGTTGGACCAAATGACCTCAGCAGTTCTAGCTCTAAACTTGTGTTAACCCAGGAGTGGAAGGCCAGCCTCCACTTCTACATTTAGTATAGAAATAGACTTGTGATCACTGGAAGGAAAATGTATTTCAAGCCTTTGGGGTTTTTTGGTTTTGTTTTTCTTTCAGTTTCAATCTCTTATTGGTAATTTCTGCATTGCGTGGAAGTAGGAACATTATGAATGTGGAACAGTGGAATATTAGGTAGTCACTAAAAGTGATGGCTGAGATAGTAAAATTTATTATATTGAAATACTCTTCTTAAAATGCAAAGTGGATCACAATAGTCCCCTGCCTCAATATTTTCCTAGTGCACCTAGATAAAACCTAAAAGTCCTTATTTGATAGATCATAGGGTCTAGTAACGATCTGGTCCCACCTTCCTCTTCAGAGTCATCCTGAAGTAGATAGCATCACTATTCTTTTTCATGTTCTCTGTTCTTTTCCTTTATAGCACATATCACAGGTTACAATTACATATTGTTTATACATAATGTCTGTCTTCCCTATTAGACCAGAGTTCCATGATGACAAGAATTGGGTCTGTCTTGTTTCTCACTGTACTCCAATACCTGGCACAGCATATGTGGCAGTACTCAAACATTTACAAAATTAATTTAACAAAGAAATTATTGTATTTAGATGATTTCAGACATTGAAAAGAAAAGGCAGCGTTTAATTGAAGTCCAAGGTGAACTGCTTCGGTAAGATAAAATCGCGTTTGAGAATTTACCTAGGATATAATTATGGTGTGTCATTGGGGGAGTCATATTTGCTTCTGTGTCATATTAAAACTCCAGGTTATCTTTGAGCTTGGATGCTTAGTGAAAGTAGGTTATGCTGCCTAGTTGCAGAACCCTGTAGCAAAGGAGAATTCACCACTGATCTCTCAACAGATCTCTTAGCCTAACTAGAGATTTAATACATAGATTCTAAAATTAGACTGCCTGGGTTTGAATCCAGGCTCTGCCACTTACTGGCTTTGCAACCTTGGGCAAGTTACTTAGTTCCCTCTTCTGTATACAGGCATAATAATGATACCTACACCTCATAGTGTATTGTGGGAATTGTAAATATAAAGAAAGTGCTTCACAGTGCCTGGCATACAGTTAGTGCTGTATAAGTGTTAATGGGTTTATTTATTGTTATTGGAGTGGCACTCATATGAATCCATTCCCAAGTGTTGGGCCAAGATAACTAACCATGCTTTGAGGTCAGGGCCATCCCCATCGTCTGGTTAGGAAGACTGGAGCACACATGAGCACACATCAGCCCACAAGTATTTTTTTGGTGCTCTTTGAGGCCAGGACTGTTGTGTGTGCTGGAAGCTTGGTAGTAAAGCAGTATCAGATATGCTCTCTGCTTTTAAGGAGCTTTAAAATAGCTTGAGAAAGAAAGTGATATTATCAGAAATGACAGTCTATAATTAAGTACTAAGTTTTAAAGAAGAGACTGTCAGAGGAATTTAAAACGAGAAATTGGTTGTCTAGTCGACTGGTTTGCAAATCTAGTCTGTGGACAGGTTCTGGCCCATGGTCAAGTTTTCGTTGGTCCAGGCCAAAATAAGAAAATTGAAGGTAATATAATAATGATAGCTAACAGGGCTGGCTGGTTAGCTCAGTTGGTTAGTGTGCTGCTGCTAACACCAAGATCCAGGGTTCGATCCCTGTACTGGCCAGTTGCCAAAAACAAAAAAAACAAACAAAAATTAATGATAGCTAACATGTAAAACCTTCGTATGTGGCAGGTCACCTTCCTCAACACTTGTATATTAACTCACTAATCGCCATCGTAATCCTGTGAGGTAGGTTATTCTAACTATATAGTAAGGCTCTGCTTTGTTATACTTGTCATCAATGTGAGACCACTCAGACATGACTGCCTTCTTTTGTTCCTTTTTTATAAGTTGCAAAGTATATTTTGAAAAGCATAGTAAGAAAAAAGTGTGATATATCATTATTTTAACTTTACATATGAAAAACCTAAGGCACAGGGAGGTAACTTACCCACTAGGAAGTGGGGGAGCCAGGATCTGCTGTCAACAGACTCCCAAACCTGCACTGCTGACCACCATCCTGCAAGCTCATTAGTGAGTTTTCCAGAATGCTGTATTTGTTCAATGTAAAGAGCTGTTAAAAAGGACTTTTGTAAAATTATATTACAGGATAGTTTTTTAAAATCTTTATAAGGCAAAATTTAAAAAATTAGCTTTTCTGCCTCCTTTTTATTATTGCCCAAGATCACATACTTTTTATCTAGTCACTGTTATAGGTTTTGCACTGGTTTTATTAGACCTTGGAAAGTGGACAAGATTTTGATAAGAGACAGGGGCAACGGGAAAGCTTTTTGTTAATGGTTTTCCTGTTAAACTGCAGTTTCTGGCTTCTCCTGCCTGAGGTTCTAAAATGTTAGCCAGAATACATTCTAATTCAGTAGTTCCCAAGACTTGAATGACTTGATGAATTTTAGCATATACCCCCTGGTTTTTAATACTTCATTCAGTATACTTACATATTAAGTCTAATACATTATGGGCTGTTACACTTTATTATGTCATTTACTTTGGGGAAAATACTTGTTTTTGTTTTAGGTTCTAATATTTTCCCAAAATATTTTTTTGTTTTAGGTTAGAACCACAGCTGAAACAACTGCAAACAAAGTATGATGAACTTCAGGAGAGAAAGTCTTCCCTTAGGAATACAGCATATTTCTTATCTAATTTAAAACAGCTTTATCAAGATTACTCAGATGTTCGCAAGAAAGAACCAAACGTAAAGGAAAAGGTAACTTTGATTTTTACTCTTTACTGTGCTTCATAAGATGATAGAGGACATTTGTATGCTAGAGTTCCAGAAGCTTTGAGGAAAAATAAATGTAGATACAACATTATAAAGTCCCAAGACAGCATCACTGAAAATCAGTGAATACTTATTGTGTCATCACTGTTTTTAGCTACTTAATGAAGGTTAGAGGTATAGAGAAAAATCCAGAATCACTGATTTTTTTTTAAAGGTATTTACACTTCAGAGAACCGAATTTCTTCAAGAGAAGTGTATATTCTGTGTACAAATCTTAATTAAGCAAGCATGCTCTACTTTATTGTAATTTTAATCAATATAAGACCACTCAGACATGTTTTAAAGACCAGCTCCTCTTTTGTTCTTTGTCTAGCCCATGTTCATAATATCTTGTATCTGAAAAACAAGCCATTATCCCGTATGTGAGCGCCATACTCTAATCAACTGAGCTAACCGGCCAGCCCTTTCATTATCCCATGTAAAATGGTAGGTGTGATTTTAGAAGTTGAGAAACATAAAAAAGGCATATAGTAAGAAAAAATATGGTATGTTATTGTTTTAATAAACTTTATGGTTGCTTCTGGATTTTTACTGCAAACTTTGCTACTGGTATGACATTCAGCTCAGATTAATAGAAATGTTTAAATTATAGGAAAAAAATTTACATATTTGTATACCCTAATACGATTTCATATATAATGTATACATAAATCTTATGATCAGATTTGTATTTTTCACTTCTAAATTCAATTTTAAGGTTTTGATACTGAGCTGAGTTAATTCTCCTGAGCCTAAGGTTTGTTTATACATTAAGGAATCTGGAAATAGAATATTTTTTAAAGTTTTTTTTTTTTT